ACCTTGGTGTTCTGAAAGTCAAGCACTAGGTGGTAATTTATTTTCGACAACCTACTCAGCTGGAACCTCGCCACGTAGATTCAACCCTGCCCGTAAACGTTTTTTGCTTAATGGCACTCAGCTGAAACGGCCTGGGCAGCACTTTTACCAGGGTAGCACACGTGAGACCTCATTAAATCACTTATCATGCCACATTTCGACCTATGCGACTTTCTCTGAACCAACATGACATTCAAAATACAACGTAAAACTTCAAGTAGCGCCAAGAACGGCATGCGGTACGTTTTATTTTGATCTAAGAAAATACGGAACCATGTTATCCGAATTTTTAGACCAGAATTCGTATGGCCTTACTCTAAGACAAAAACGGTTACTCATCTCTTCACTTCTTTTTATAAAAGTTTTTAACCGGTTTTCCCCCAAAGGCAAACAGCGCCTCATAAGTAACATCAATCCACTTGAAGACTTATAAAATCGAGAGCTGTGAATTAAGCCCTGCTTGTGTACCACGGTCACACACGACCTTCACTTCAAGTTAATCTTTCACCATTACGAGCCTTTATCCGAGCTTGAAAATAAATTACCAGGCGAGTGTAACCCCTAAAAAAAATTTAAATACTTTCGGGCAATTCAAAGGCCTTTGAATTAAACAACAATGGGTTACGGAGAATAAACGCGCATAATAGAAGCGCGTTTTTAAACGTCTTCTCTCAATCTCCAGAATCTTCTTTTCCCACTTCCAAGCGCACCCGGTCACCGCCCCCGTTAAACACCTGCTATTTCCCCTCTTTATTAAAACCCTACATAATTTCTACCACCATACCTCATTCTAGCTTCTAATCCTCATCTCTCCATTCCCTCTCACAACCTAAATTAATGGAGCATTAATTATTTTTCTGTGTACCCCTAATAAATATTGTTAATTAAAATATACAAAAATATTAGTGACGGTTCCAATAAAATAATACTTGTAAAGCTATCTTTGTACCAGTTATCAGGATATTCACTACATATTATATTGGCACAATAGATGTTAAGATACCCGCAGCTCTTTGTTTGTTCCTCTACTTACTTGCGACAGTTATTGTGTTTAAAATTACTGGTTGTTATTTGAGCTTATAGTTATTTGTGCTTCTCCTGGTGTAAAATTTATGTATATTTATGTAAGTTTGGCTACTGTAAACCTAAACGTTGGGAGGCTTTCTGTACGCTCCCAAATATTACTTTTTCGCCTACTTCTTCTTCGTCTTTTTTTTCTTTCTTCCCATCTTCCTCAATAACAAATTTTTTATATTCTGCCATCACCTGATTGAAGGTTTTTCTTGGGTTTACTTCATTGCTTTGAGGCGTAAATGCCCGGATTGGTTTTGTCCCGTAAAATTTGTTCTCCCCAGACCGTAATGTCACAGCTTGTCCGCTCCCCTCTTGGAAATGTAACTATTCTAATTGTAATTAAATTCAGTGAGATATAGCGGAAGAGTGGCAGGGTTCCTATGGTCTGAGGCCTCGGCCTTAATAAAGACAATTAATTTATTATTATTATTATTATTATTATTATTATTATTATTATTATTATTATTAGTATTATTATTAGTGCCGATCCGGTAGCCGAAATCGCTAAGGCAGTAGTGCCGTAGCGATCTCGGACCCTAGGATCACGGGTGCGAATCCCGCCTCGGGCTTGGTTGTATTGTGCCACGTGTCTCATTTTCGGGCAGTGTTTGTTTTCGAAAATTGCAAAAATAATTCAAAATAGAGATTTTCGCCTCATTGTCAAAGTCACACTTCATCCAATCCTTTCCGGATCGATTGTCTTTAAAACGGCTTTCTCTCGTCTTCCTTGACGGTTCAAATAATCCCATATTTCTAACATGTAACAGAATTCCCTATTTCGCACAAAGCATGATACCTTGAACCAAATTATTCTCCTCCTCACAAGGAAGAACTGTCTGACGCCCGTGACTCAGTGGATATCTACCATAGGTTTTATCATTGAGAGCCGTATAACGAACTGCGTATTGTTGGGATGTTTTCCTAATAGTCAATCGGCCACCTTGAACGGCTTTTACAGCAAGACATAGATAAGTTGGAGAATAATTTATTTTATAAATAAGTTGTTGGTACCCATAGTGTCCGGGGTGGAAACGTTTGAATATTATCAAGGGGCTAATTAAGCTCAACTTCCTGATTAATTGGAGCGTTAGGAACAGCAGTGGTTCTTGAATTATTAGAAAAAGGACTACCTCAAAAGCATCACCATCACAACAAATATATTGATACCTTTTTAGAAGCCTTAGATTATTATCATTACTTACTGTTCGTGGAAACGGATGAACAGGAACCATTCGAGATAATGGTTACTGGATAATATTGCAAATATTGTCTCTAGAAAACAAATAATATTGTAATTACATAACTCCATACAGTTCTATAGACATGAAAATAATGGGACAAAACTATGTATTTAAATATTTTAAACTTGGAGCACCAAACAGAAAAATATTCCAGAAGTTAGCTGATTTTTAAGGCAACATTTGAGAATTTTCTCGCGCACCCAGTGGAATAAAAAATTTCTTTAAAAACATCATTTAAAAGTTTTAATTTCACAGCAAATAAAATTCTTTAAATATTTTTGAAAAATTGAGTAAGTCATCTGGTTCAATTAGTCTCAGTTCATTCAGTAATGTTTCGTAGGTGTATTTCTCCCTCTCAATAAACCACTGTTTGCCCCATTTTCTACTTTTTCGCACTTGCGGCCACAGCAGCCATCACACATGGTTTCACTTTTATGAAATTTCTGGTTGGAACTGATTCTACAATATATATCCATGTAGTTGTATATCTGTGTTCGAGATTGCGCAATATATTGCACAACCACCAATATCGCCACCATACGATACAATTATTAGCACAAACCAAAATATTGTACATTCATATTGCCTGTCTAGGGCCAACGTCCAAAATACTGTGCAATCCACATTGCGTAATAATATTGAGCGTCTATGCTCCCCTTTATATCACAGTATACAGATGAGGAATTAATGGCTACTTTAAATTAAAAATTATACACTTTTAACAGCAGAGAAGTAATTTCATTTAACCAATTGTTCTAATGATAAAAACTTCATTTTGTTTATGGTTCCTTAAGTAAATTGGTACACATTTACTTGATTCATTGTTTTATTTCGGAATAAATGGCAAAAATATGGTAGATATGGCAAACATATCACAAAAATGTAGAAAGCAATTGCATACGTTGTATATTATTTTATATCCAACCATATTTTTTTTAAATTATCTCGCACAAGTAGAAATATTGCTATCCTACAATAATTGAGACGATTTTGTGCCCTAAAAAATCTTGAAAAATTGGTATTAAAAATTGCATTTATGAACTACAGATTCCGAAGTATGCCCTTTAATACTCAATAGAAATTAACAATATTTCATTTCCTGTATAAACCTTTCTTGATAAAATTCAAGAAAAGCATACCTTGATTGAAACAAAATATTTTTGTGCAAACATAATACAATCTAACTTTGCATGAGAAATAATGGAAGTAAACATCCACCGAGAGTGATAATTATTTGATTTCTAATGTGAAAGAAATGGGTAAATATGACCATTAGTTGTGAATTTGCGCCATATTTTATAAGTTATTTACAAAACAGATTTAACCAATTTTCACCTGGTTTGATGGACAGTCACCTTTTAGTCCTGGTCTACAAAGGTCTTGCTGTACCAATTACTGATCCAATTTTTGCCATCAATGCCACACAAAACATTTTTACCCAATGTCTTGGTGGAAATAATTCACTACAAATAGGAGACAGAGTTAACCGGATTTCCAGCAACCCACAAAATGAGGTTTTGACATAAAAATGCTGCAGCTTCATAACTATCTCTACACTACATAGTAGCAGGTGAGAAAATTAAACTGCTCCCACTTTCTGCCTCACTGTACTGTAAAGTTCTCATTAGTTTATTCATACTCGGTTGACCAGGTGGGAGTCATAACAGACAAGGCTGTTTTTAGAGTGCACTTGGTACAAACTAACTTTCGTGGTGATGTGAGACTAATCTGGGCAACAGTGCTCCACATACACAATGCAATGTCTGTTAAGAGTTGATTATTTTTCTTTTTTTGAGAATTCGATTGGTAATTGCTCCAGAAAAGGCATATGTTTGTATCATAACTAGCAATTATAAGCCAAAAGAATAAGATGCCAAATGACCTTAAGGGAAATATATCTCTTCCCCTTATGTGTGTGTTCTGACTTATTTACACACCACACCATAACACAAATGTAATGTTTCAAAAAATTACAGTTGAAGTTAGCCAATTTCTATAGATTCTGCGCAGCTGAATATTCACACATGCAGGGGGCCAATAAATGCACCAACACCAACAATAACCATGGAAAATTACAAAACCAATACGTTACCAAATGATGTAACGCTACAAAATTTCCAAAGTCAAGACTTTCCACTCATGATAGTCTCGTGTATTTCCACATCAAAAACACCTACTCCAATTCCTTAAAGTATTAGTTTCATATGTGAAATTACAAGTCATGGCCACAAAGCAGATGCCTCCACCTTCCTATAAACTTCTTTGTATCTTACATTGAGTCCTGCCAAACCATCAGGCAATGCTGTAAATTGTTCAACCTATATTTAATTATTAAATTTTCATTCCAATTCTTTGTGCAAGTTGTACCAACATACAAACATGTAAGAAGTTTTATGAACGAATTTTAGAAATATCCCCTTCCTTGATTTTAGGCTGCATTCACCAATGTAACTTGCAAACCATGAAGTTAATGAAGTAGTAATGTCAAGCCAAAGTTCCAAAATATATTTACTTTGCACTTCACATTCTACTCGCAGATACAAAAGTGATGCCAGCAAAACTTCACCATGTACAGGCACACTATTGAAGTCTTTAAGGAATAAAAGATCTGTGGTATACAGGGAGGGATTTGAAATAAAAGACTAGTAACGAGTTACAACTCTTTTAATATACTTTGAATACATGAATGGGCTGTTAGGCAATGCTGCTGGCATTAGATGCTATCCTTGGCCACAGATCAGCACACTCCTTTGCCACCGGTCCAGTAATAGCACTCCCTGCAAGAAATTATGCAATTATGAAATTAACATTTCACAAAGAATCTGATCATGGCCTTATTGATACAATTTCATTAATATATTACTGAATACAATGGTGAAAAGTCAATGCAATACTCCACTGGGTAGAACAAGAGGTTTTATCATATTGCATTTAACACTGTTCTGAAGCCATTTTAGGCTGGGAAATTCCCTTGTTTATTGGCTAAGAACCAAATTTGAGACCAAAACACTCGAAAACTTTCTAGTTGCACAAATGAAACTTTGCAGTTGCAAAAATTGCAGATGAATAGTAATCACAAGCCTTCAAAATAAATACCAAATTCATTTACCTTCCACAAATTAGATTAATTGTAAGTTAATTACAAACAGGTGACATTTCACTATCTAGGTTCCAACATACCTTTCATTTCTCCTTTGTTATTTACTATTACACCAGCATTATCTTCAAAGTATATGAATACCCCATCCTTCCTTCTAAATGGCTTCCTCTGCCGTATTACAACTGCAGGCATAACTAAAAAAGTAGAAATAAATTATTTATTATGCATATTGTGAATTTCTGCATGAATTTAGCTGCAAGTCAAATCCACACAACAATGTAAGTTAAAAAAGAAACTACAAACTAACAAAAGATTTTTGAACAAAAATTAACAATCCTCCTAACAATCTCATAAAAAAATTTAATATTTTTTAAGTTACAATTTCAAAATAACCAATCAAATGGAATTGAAATATTCTTGGCACATTCACAAAAAGTCATAATGCATTTTAATCTCATTTTACAATAGTTTACTTATTAAACTGTAAAACCTTCAAAGCATTATCTCAAAGGTCATATTTTTCCGTTTTAGATAAGATTCTGTATTAAGCGAGTAATATTAAAGACACTAGGTTTGCACAGGCAAATTTATGTTCACATTTGACAAATTTCCACATAGTACACATCCCACATGAGCAAGTTTGATTGTACTTAGAAAGAGTAAAGCAAGTAATCAATTTATCAAACTACAATTGCAGAATTTTCAACAGTAATATGTAAATAACCTTATGATTCTTAAGCTTGTACCAAATTTCATTCAGGGGAAAGATTGCTCTCTATCCTTGCAATGCATTTTTAGGTACATTATTCGGAAACCTTTTCAGTAAACATAACTACAAGTAATTCATTATTCATTGTGGGCAATTTCAAACTTACTAGCTCTGCCTGTGACAATTCAAAATTTGATTAAACAAATTACCCAGTGTGAACATAAGTTTTCAACAATAACAGAATTACACTTTTTCAATTTCACCGTTGCTTCTAACTCTCATACTTAAGCCAACCCTAAGGAAGAGAATTTAGAGGTATTTCTTAAAGAGGCTGATTATAATAATTAAAAAGAAAAGTATAACATTCTGACCAGAAAAGACACCTTTGTGAAAACTTGAAGCAATCTTTATCACCGAAGCATAACCAACAATATAACAAACCAGCAAAAGGAATTTCCAACAAAAAATTCAATGACCATTCAACAAAGATTAACGCACGTAGAATTACAACTCCCACTACCGAAGACTAAATACAATAGATTTCTGTTGATCACCAATTTAAGCACACAGTGCAAGATGTTAATTTGGGAAACCACTACAAATGTTTCAGATTTTGCATTTAAAATTTTATTTAAACAAACTTTTTAAAATATTTGTCTTTCATTCTATTTTCCACCTTAAGTTCTGCACCTTCAGTGCCCTTACTTTAATTAAAAATAGGTGCCAGTTGCTGAGGAACACTGCCAGTATGGACTTAAGCCAAGAGGAACAAGTTTACTACTACATGAAAACTTTTTTTATATATTTATACATCTATTCTCTTCCAGCAGAAAGCAATTTTAACTTGAATTTATGAATGCAAGTTTCTTATAAATCAATTTTTAATATAACTGAAGTTATACAACTTTTACTTTTTCCTCACTTTTACTTTATTACTCATATCAGCGAGATGTGGCCTGATAAGTTTAGAACTCTCATGCAACACTAATGGGATACAAAAGCATATCTTGAAAAATCCTGCTTAGTATCAAAAGTAGAAATGTATGACAAAAGTAGATTGCTTATTTTCCCTGAAGGATTCAAAATCAAAATTGAGATAATGCCACACACTCCCAAACCACACATTTACCTTATTTGAAGAAATTCTGGCTAAGCCAATAAGATTTACATCCATTATTTAGGTACAAACACTGCTACATTTTTATTCCTGAACTGCAAGATTCTACGAATACCATTATGATTTCCACTAACATACTAAAATACTACACATACTTCACACATCAGTTTAATATCTTGTGTATGTAAAAAAAATGCCAGTTAATTAGAAATTCAATGTAAGCATAGTAACTATCATTTGTTTCACAACTGAAGGCTGCATGCTGAACACCAAATATTGACAATCTTATGACCTATTGTTTAAGTTTTACTATTAAAACCACATTTTCCACTTATTTGCTCACTATAATCAAATTACTTCAGAAACCACTTTACCATCGTTCCAGTATTAAAACAAAATTACATTATTTCACATTTAATTACTAAGAAAAGAGGACTCACCCTTCTTTCTTAACTCAGGCTTTCCCTTCTTTACTGTTGCCACAATCATATCACCTGAGCCAGCAGCAGGCAGCCTGTTCAGACGACCTTTAACACCTTGCACAGCAATAACATACAAGTTCTTCGCCCCTGAAAAAGTAATTATGGAATTTATAATTTTCGACTCTACAATTCTTCTCTACTTTAGAAAATACAAATTTAGAGCTAATTTCATCTTCTTCTAAAATCAAAACTATCATACTTTATTCAACCGCTTTAGTTTTCCATTTACCCTAACCTACCACATTCAAAAGTAGTGACCGAGAGCACGTGCTTTCGCAAAACTTCACTTAAAAACATTGCCAAAAAACGCATTTCAGAGAAGACTATGAAGGGTCTTTCGATACTTCCAACGATTTAACAAACTCAGTTTTATACACACTCCACATAACCAAATTCCAACACTAACATCTCAGCAATGTTTGGTGCAATATTGTCGACAAAAAACACACTCGCAAGGCTTAATAAAATTTAAACCGATATTACAATGGCCTTACAACAAGTACTTTAACACGCATTAAGACGCAGAAACAATGCCAAATATTCACCTGTGTTGTCAGCACAATTTATCACTGCTCCAACAGGCAAGCCAAGCGATATACGAAATTTGGCTCCCGCGGAGCCACCACGACCTGAAATAAAAAAGATCATATAAACACATGTTGAACTAATACCCCCACAAGCACTTCCATTTTCCCCGCGACAAGAGCCGAGAATATTTAAAAAAAAACGAATACATTAAATATACAATCAGATATCAAACAAACATCTGCGATACATATTAGCAAAAACGCATGAAAACTGTCTTCGATTAAAACCGATAAACCCTGGACGTAAACACACCTCGCTTCGACATGGCCGCTGCTCACGTTGCCACAACGTGTAGGAAGAGAAGAGAGTACAGCAATCCTCGTCTCCGGTCAGAGGTACTACAAGCCGCGCAAGAGGACACCTCCCCTCCTTCCGGGAGCTAGGGACCGAGTCTTTCAACCAATCAAAATCGCCAAATGGAAATATTGTAAACTCCAAGAAATTTCGTGTGAAGATACCAATAAGACAAGAGATATTTCCCAGCGATGTAAATCCTGCGAATGTGACTAATTGATAAACGTTGCGAATTTCTTTATTCGTACCATAAAAATTAATATTACTACAAGTATACATATTACTACAAAGTAACCCTTCAAAAATAATGAGACAAAATGATAGAGTTATTAGAAATATAATATTTACAATATTCATGCGGGTAGATTTTCTTTGTTTTAAGATGACTTTTATTATAAATTTTCCCCATCACATTGCTCCGAGAAACACTCTCAGATTTAAAACCATTTTTGAATCTGGAGAGGGCGAAGTGATGTTGACCATGGACAAAGTAGAATTGTTTTGATCACTAGACAAATTAAGAATGCCACCAATGGAAGTCGACATAGTTTTGTTGTATTTTGCAAGTCCCCCAGATCCCAAACTTCACTTCGCAATTGTACATCTTACAGCTCACAAAAGTTTCTTACTTTGCATCCAGAAGCGTGGCGATCTATGGTATGGCGAATATGGCACGTGCCTTGGGCACCACTCACAAGGGGCGCTATTTACAGTATAACAAATAGCATCCCTAATTTGAAGTATTCTGGTAAGGCCGCAAATTATATGCTTGTAATGGGCGCTTGAATATCTAGATACGCCTATTTGTATCTACAAACCTCCAAAAATCGATCTATAGGTGATTTCACTTTCTTATAAAATATAGATACATTTTTCAAATTTAGTAATTGCTCTATTGATTTCGTTGTTTGTAGAGATTTCACCATTGATTTTCTGGGTGAATCTCGCGAAAAAGAGCAGCTTCTTAATTTCATTCATTCTTTTTATTTAGATATTGCACTGAATGAGTAAACTACACTGAATGAAATTTTAAAAAAAAGCAATAGATCAAATCATAATTAACAAAGCCACGAGTATATACGCATAATAATGAATTGTCCAGTTTACAAGTGACCACGATGAAGAAATTCTTACAGTTATTAGTAACTTTAACACTTACACTTAAAAAAAATTTAAAAAAACAAGTAAAACTTTTATAAATTAATTTTGAAGATCCGCGAAATGAAATGGCTAAATATATATATATATATAT